GAAACTTTCTTCAACTAACATGCTTGTAACAATAAATTTCCACTATTTCTATAGTCGGATTTTTAAAAATATGCAATAGTAGTGCATATTATGTACAAATGACCACATATGCAAATACTTTTTTTTCTGAACTTCTAGGATTTAAATGTTTGTAATTGTTTACTATGACCACCTGAGCATGAAATAAGCTATTTAGCAAGGGTGAAGAATGAAAACTTCCTTTTACCATGTCCTACACTCAGAGCTTAACCCCAGTTTTACAGTTCAGTTTTAACCTTAATGAACTAGTATAAAATATGTTTCTTTCAGTATTAATGCTACTTGCTGCTCATCCTTATTTTGGTTCTGAAGTACTCCCTGCCTGCGTAACGGGAAGTCCATCTACATTTGAACTTCTGTTTTCAGAAAATACATACCATGATGTATTAATTATAGGGTTTATAAGGTAAACATTCCAGTGGAACAGCACTGAGGCTGGCAAGAATAAACTGGAAGAGCCACTTGGCTCAGGTATCCCAGGAAATGCATATGCAATAGAAAAATCAATTTGTTAGTCACTGGGAAAGGGTTAGCAGTTTTCATTTAACAACAAATATAGAAGTGTAGGTGCTGGAATAGAGTAGAGGAAAGTGCATTAACTGGGGGAAAAAAAAGTTACTTTTCTCATTATTGGAGTATTATAATCATAGTTGAATTCACTATGTACAATTGCTCCTTGATGGTTTCTTGTTGAGTAATTTTGTTCAATAAGGGTCTGTCAATACAATTTGCTTTCAAATGTCAGTTTATACAATATCAAGAATAATGGACTCACTCAGGTGCATTTGGAAATGGTAATAAAATATTAATTTTGTGCAAAAGAAAACTGTTAATCATCTAGTGTAGTACTCTACAATTATGCATGAGTTTTTTGAGGAGCTCTGTGGAATAAATGTGAATATTGTAATGTGTGTTAGACAAAGAGGCATAAATAACTAGGCAGTAAAACACTGAAGAGGGGATATCCTCTGTAGAATGTGCTTTTTGTGGAATCCAGGACAGCAGTGAGCAAACCATCCTATATAATTCCCAATTTCTGGAAAGTGAGTGCATTCTGAATTTCTTGCATGCAATATATTTTTTGAGGTTCACAAAGGTGGGTCGTTTCATCAAGCCAAATTTCTTCGCTTCTATTTTTCCTACAATGTCAAGGAGATGGATAGTTAACACTCACAAATTAAGTGTCAGGAAATAACTGATGGTCACATTCATTAAAAAAGTCACACCAGGATCCTTCCACAGAAGCTCCAGAGAGCTCAGTGAGTGGAACAGGGGGCAGTGACCCAGCTGCTGACCACAGCACGATGGGGAGATGATGTTTACAGAGAGGAGTTTATGGCAAGAATAATTTTGATGGTTCTCTCCTGCTAGTGCAGTTTGAATGCTGAACAGTCTGAAGGAGAGGTTTGGCTAGCAGAACCTTTCCATGGTAGCTCATGGCCTGGCATCCATCTCTAGATCTTGTTGACAGAAAAACTCAGTGAAGGAGTTTAGCTTGAAAGGAACAGTAGGAGAGGTATTTGTTTTCCCCTTTTTCCTTCCCAGCTCAGCAAGCTGAGCAATCTGTGGCTCTTCAAAGACAGCAGAGCACCATGAAGCTTCCTGCCTGTAACTTCTGTGGGCATTTACACAACAAACCCTTCACAGGACACTTCAATCAGGAGCTGCAGGAGGAGCGAGATGAGAGCTTCCCCAAGTGGAGCAAAGAACAGGGTGTGTAGTTTGGAAGAGAATGTGAAGAGAGAGATGCAGCTCTGGCAAGTTTATAATTTGGGTTTCCACAAGGTGTGTGTGTATGTGTCATACACACACAGCAGCTTGTGCCAGAGTCAGTGTTGATGAGGAGTGTAAATGCTAAGTGGTTTAAGAATTCTTTTTAATATATGCAAGGCTATCACTTGAGAAAAAGTACTTATTGCTCATGTGAATCCATCTGTCAGTGCAGACCTACATCAGCTAAATCATGTCAATTTGCACTGCTAACAAACAGGTGGAATAACAAGGAATGAGGTAATTTGTGGCATAAATGATAGCTAAATAAAAAGGAAGCTATTGTCTGCAAATAGCTTGTTTTTGCAAGAATCTAAGATAAGTTTTTCAGGCCTGCTTTAAGTTTTCCTTCTGGTGAAACTGCTGTACAGCAGTGACAGACACTTGATGTAACTATCAAATATAAGCACTATTGCATTAGAATTTATGTCTAGGCTTAAAAACACCTACATTCAAGACAATCTATTTATGCAGAAAGACGTAATGCCTCGTCCCAACAGCATAAATTAATCTTTAAATTGGCTAAATGAGGATATCTTTTACATAAGAGAACCTCTGCACAGTGTAAAAGCTGATTTACACAAAACTGAGCATCAGCTGTCAATGCAATGGTAAAAGAAATACACTCTTCTCAACTACTGAGAATAAAGTAGAAAGGGAAAAAAAGAAACCAACAGCTGCATGGCCCTGCCAAGCTGCTTTCCAGACACTTATTTATAGCAGGCTTTCTAGTTTAGTTCTTTGTTTCATTAAAACATCTGTGGCAAATTTTGTAGAAAAAATATCTAAAAGCATTTTGTCTTTAGTTAGAAATAATTTTTCTGAGTATTTAGAAGGGAATCTGCCACTTATCTTGAGTTAAAGGTTTTGGTAAATAAAAAGCATCTCATCATCTTCGTTCCCAATGACCCTAATAGCAGAATAATGCTGGCATTTTAAGCCTCCCATGTAGTTATATTAACTGAAATCTTACCCATAACCAATATGTGAAACAATTAGGTTATAATTCTGCAGTTATTAAATGTTAAGTACCTCTGTTAGGCTTATGAGAGCTACTGTCCAACACAAGCCCAAACATCTCCACTGAATCATGCACAGCAAGAGATCAGACAGTTTTGAGTCTCTTACATCCCAGATCAGCACTACCTTGTCAAGATTTGTTTTCATGGTATTTTTGGTTGTTCTTTTCCCCCCTTTTTTAATGTGTGGGATTTTTTTTTTTTCTCACAAATAAAGCAAAACTGCTTTTAGCAATTTAGAAAAGGAAAGGGCATCCCCTGGTCGTCTCTGATGAAAAAAGAGGCAATTCAGAATTCATACTGTGCTTAATATAAATGTAAATATGATAAAGTAAAAAAGGAAGAGTTCAATAGCAGCACTACAGGTAAGACTGGTGAGATGCAAATGTTAGCAGCAATTTCTGACTGCACAGCTTCATGACACCTGTTCCCCAGCATGCATTCCTTCTCAGAGGGACACATCCATTGGATTTAGCACAGTTCTTCATTGCCTCTCAACTACCTGAAAATCTTCCCTTTCTCTGGGTTTGCTGCTTTGCCAATGTTTTTTTTTGTAGTTGCTTTTGACACGATCAAATAACATTTATCTCCATTAACTTGCAAGGATATCTGTTACACATCATGCAGTTGCATTTCCATAATTTCCCATTTTCAATGTTTCATCAGATTGAATCAGAATTCTTAGTAAAAGACATTTAATAGCAAGGAATTATGAATGATCTTCATTAAAAAAATCTACATTTAAGAGTTTTAAGTCCATAAGATCAAAAGCTTTACAAGTACTCAGAAAAACATCAGTCCTGAGGATCTTACAAAATTAACTTGTAGGTGGGGAGGTAGTTGAGAAGCCAGTTCATGACTTCGAGGCCATTTGTAATTTAACAGAATCAGTGGGATGCTCTACATAGCACTGTGTTCAAACCAGAATTTTGTGGGGCCTGCAGTATTTCCTGCTCAATAGTTGTTTAGTTACAGGTACCACCTCATTGTGATGCTGAGTGCCACAATTCCTAAGGGCTATTAAACACTCTGAGATATCCCATGGAGAAAAAAAATATGGAAAGTATTTCACAAACTGTCGACAAAAGGAACCCAAACAGTCATAAGAAAAGACATCAAAGCTGCCGAGACGCTTCCATTCAAAGAAAGCAAAGAAAGAAATAATAGCACTTGAAATAAAAAGAAAAGTAAGAATAATCTTGTAATTAGAATTACTGCAGTAGGTAAAATGGGGCACAGAGAAGTACAATAGTTTCTTTTATATAGCAAGTCAATAACATTATGCAATTTTCCAATTTTCTGCCTTTTCTTACCAGAAGAGATTTTTTTTTTCTTTCAAGAAAAACTTTTAAGTAACACTACAGATAACACAGGATGTCCAGAAAAGATACCAGCCTGACATTAGCCCATGCACAGGTCCATTTTTACACAGAAATATGTGGTTTGAAAAGGAACTTTGATTCAGTTTTAACTATAGTTATATGTATTTACTCTTCATTTATAACTTTTGATGGAAATGGTGTTTAATGGCTCCAGAAGAGAAAGGATAACACAAGTAGCCTGTCTTGGAAAGGATGCCTCTAATCTGTCCTCATTCATTTAAAGAGAATTACAGGAGTTCAAAAAATGAAAAGTAATAAAAATTTAGAAAAAGGGCAGTTTTCATGAAATAAAACTTGCAGCTACCAAAGCACACAAAGGTTTCAAATACCAAATTAATATATTATTAAGTTTTCCCTTTCCATATGTGTTTTGCCTCCATGTTTTAGGAAGGGAATATAAATTTTTAGGGAAGAGTCACAGAGTCACACAAATTCTGAGATTTTACAGTGGCATGTTTAAAGTTCTCCTTCTGTGGTGCACATGGACATGTTTCATGAAATGGATGATTTAGAGGACACCAGGCCTTCTCTTCCAATATTTAGGTTGGCCACTTAACTGCAGAACAGTTTCCCTCACAATTTCTCCTATACATTAGTTCAGGAAAATAGTTTGTTCCCAAGAAGTTATTGTCTTTTCCATTTCCTTTTGGTTTGGCTTTTTATTGGAAGGGACATCTGATCTACCCTTCTGACAAATACCATATTTTATTTCCTTGAGAAGTGTGGAGAGATAGGGCAGAGAGTGAAGGAAAAAAAAACCTGATGTGTGGCAACAGGCTGGAATACCTACCAGAGGAAATGCTGGGGGGTAAAGATCCACCCCCTGCCACTGGATGTGAGGCCAGGATGCTATTTAAAAATCCCGCCCTCAGGAATCTGGAAAGAGACTTCACCCCAATGGTCGGAAAGGATCCTTTCAAAGAAATAAAAATGATCATTAATCAAACGACTTGTTCTCTGGCTGACAAAAGAAGCTGTCTGTTCAAAGAAAGAACAACCAAATCTCTGCAGAGTTAACAGTGGTTTCATGGGAACAGATCTCATGAAAAGCAGTTAAAAGCTTTTGTTTGCTTTTTAACCAAGTCATACAATACACAGCTTTAACCAGAAAAAGGTTTTTTGCATAGTTTGCAAATGGAGAATTCCAGCACTTCTAGGCGCAATAGAAAAATTTGGTGTTTCAACAGCAAATTGCACCTGTGGGATACTCATAATGCATTCCAAATGACTCCCCCATAGAGGCACGTTACAATTTTGTGTGCAAATCAGACAGACCAGTAGAGGTGAGGCTATACCAGCACAGCTGTTTTACACCAGTGTTTTAAAGCCACCTGACAAAAGTCACGTCAGGCAAGGGGCAAAGAGGAACCAGAATTTGCAGCTAAAATATTGAATTCTGTGTTAAGGCAGCTCCAGCAGTCAGAGCTTCTGTCACACCTCCCAACACCTATCAGTGTATTGATACAGGCAAAAACCAGGAGTATGGATGATGCCTAAAGATTTTTAGCTTTTTTATATATTTTTGATAGAATTGTAATTTTTTGATTTTAGGTAATGTGGACATGGCCCCTTTCTGCTTTGCTGTTACCAGAAGCTCAACACATTTTATGCTTTCACTATAATAAACTGTATATTCTTATTGCCTACATGTATGGTTTTATTCCTGGAAACAATGATTATCTCATCCACCTCTTTTAAAACAAGTATTTGTGACATATCTACTGCAGTGGTGAGAAAGGAAGATGCCTTAGCATTTGATTCACTGTTTCAGATTTCAACTTTTGAACAGAGGTCTGCAGACATCGTTTCAACTTCCTCAGTGAGTGCCAGCATCAAGGATGGATCTGAAATGACAGCTCTGCACATCTAACTTAAAAGCACAGGGTCAAGATTTTCCCACCTGGCAATAGATCTAAACAATCAGAATAATCTATGTGATTTTGCAAGTAATAATCTATGTGTTTTTGCTTCAAGTAAGCATCCATCCAAAAAGTTAGGCAATGGCAAGTTTGTTTCCTTCACCTGACACGTACTTCATATTTGTTCTCTTAAGAAACAGAAAGCATCTTAATCTTTCAGATAATGAGAAAAATAAATGGCCTTAAACAGTTGAGATTTTTTTCCCCACTAATGAAAACACTTTTAGGAAGATTTACCCTCAAAACACATGTGCACTTGCTGAATTTAAAGTAGCTTAGGAGAGCTTTGAGTTTTTTTACTTTTATTTTCAAGCAAGAGTTCTAATGTTTCCTCTCAATCCATCTGTCCTTTAAATTTGTTAGTTAGCCATGCTGCAGTCTGCGGAAAAATAATTAACTTAACTGGTGATCTAGATGCAGTACTTTTATATCTGATGGCTACAGGTAAGTTTTCCCTCTGGACACTCAAGAGAAACCTTTGGCATTCCTATAGAAGTGTTTCCATATTCATTGGCTTTCACTTTAAAATATTTGCAGAAATGATCCTGGACAGACAGTACAGAATGCAATACACAAAAATTCAATTTTAAAATGGAAATTGTTCCATTAACTCCAAGATGTTTGGTACTAAACAGCATCTTAAAACATAAAGGCTAAATAATGAACATATAAAGACTTCCCAAATAGAACATTGCTCCTGTTTCAAAATATGAATGATACCAAATATAAAGTACAGCCACTGAGTCACACACCATATGTACAGACCTTCAGAAAAACCAAACAGGTTCAGCTTCACCATTGACATTTTCCTCTATTTAAATGCTATTAAATGGCAAATAACTCCAGTTTCCTAACAGTCTTACAATAAGTTACTTTGTTATAGAAAGTAATGAAGACAACCCCAAATTAATTTTACTTACATATTCAGAAATTAAAAAAACTAAGGAGCAATTAATTTTAGAGCAATTAAGCCTATAAATACCAAGAAAACTAGAGGGCTGAAATTAGTGAGGTTTTATAAGCAGCAAATAACCAAAAAAGAATACATATAAATATCACTTTTCTCTCACACTCAAAAGTCAGGGTTCAGTTGCTTAAGTGTAAATGGTTTTTGTCATTTGAGATGCTTTAAAAAATCTGAGCCATTCCCAGCTGAGTGGCAGACATGACATGATCAGCAGGAGATTTCCACTCTGCAAGTGCCTGTAAGAGGCAAAGCAGCAGTTGGATATTAAAGAGTAGGCACTGAGTGTCATTTTAGGCAACTGAATCCCATCCAGTCTCCTGTCACCTCAGAAATGTCTCTGACTAAGCAGAACTCAGAGTTACTAGAACAAGACTTCATTTAGTCTCCTCCAGAAGTCCTCAAACACCTTCTGAAAAGGACAAGGTTGGTGACATTCAGCCCTGACCGCTATCCATCAACAAAAAACTGTAAATGAGAGATTAAAAGTTCATTCATCTTAAAACATGCATGGCTCTAAATTAAAATACAGCCCCAGGATGAATTTCTCTTTCAGCCATAGGTATGTTTTTTTCATCATCTGCACAATGTGAAAAGAGTTTGAGACTTGATGATGTGATTTTATGTTGGGAAGGTGATAATCACTGCAGATAAAGCAAAGTAATTCTTGTTAAGCCACATCTATCACCACCAGATGGACAGAGCTTTGATAAGAGCTTTGGGCTTTTACAGTAGTTTAGAAGTTACTCAATTATTTACTTGTTTGCATAAAGACTGATGAAATATTTGAATGAATGACACAGGATCACAGAATGTGTAAAGTTGGAAGGGACCCCAGGAGTCAGCTAGTTAACCAGATTTCTTGGGAAATTATGCTGTTCTGTCAGCCCACATCATACAGAGACTCGTGCTTCCCACCACTTCTGTTGTTTTCTGCAAAAACTAACACTCATTTTTGCAGTGGGTGCACTCACACTGATGGAAAGATCTTTCAGTACAAGATTCTACACTGGGAAGAGGAGACAATAATATTAAGCCATGATTCCTCAGTGCCCTCAAATGCTGTTGTTATTTAGCAGCTTAAAATTATGGATTTAGTGAGGAGAAAACCCCAACCTCTCCCTGCTCCACAGGTACACACTATGAACATTGTGTCACCTTAAAAGTTAAAATATTAGTTGGAAAAGTGTGTTGAACTGTAGAAATACATGGAATAGCTGACAGTTCATGAAGTATCCACCACTTTCTGAGCCCTGTGATACCAGTTATAACTCGGTGTAAATTCTTCTGTTTCACAATAATTACAGCTAAGTGCCTGAGCTCAGAGCAGTGGGGGAGTGCTGAATCAATTAGCCTGCCTTCCACCTTCTGCTGTTGTTCCTGGGGGGATATCATCCCACAAATTGTGGAATTTGATAAGGAAGTCATTGGTAGAGCATCCTAAAGTGGCATGGCAAATAGGACATTATCCCCCTGAGCAGAAGAGCAGGAGAAGGTGGCTGGGCAAAGGAAATCCATATTCTTAGTTCAGCTCCAGAGCACAGACATTAATTCACACCCATTTATTGGCACTGTGTGGTCACAGCATGGCCAGCCAGGAGGAACAGCCACTGCTCCCAGCCCAAATCCCATGAGCAGTGACAAAACTGTGCCCTGTTCTTCGTCACTGATGGTTTCCCTTATTTATTACTATTATTTATTATTATTAAGTATTTATTCAATACTTTCTGCAGATGGAATGACAATTTCATGTTCTGTGTATTTCTGAGCATCTAACAGCTACAAATTCAAAAGCAGCTCTTTGGCTGCTTAATTTAACAAACTGGATGGAGAAGTGCTAGAGAAGTCACAATTGCCTTCTTCTAATTGTTATTACAAGTACCATCTCTTTATTTGCTCCAGCAAAAGAAGACTTTAGGCTGTTGTTCCTTTCCCACAGATTTGGCTTGGGAAAAAAAAGGAAAAATGCATGTGTGGTGTACTTAATGTAAAAAAACCCGTTGCTCTTTGTTTCTATCTAGTCAGTCCTCTTGATGCTTTCCATGCAGGGATTGTTAAAAGCCAGCTAAGAGGAAAGTTCTCAGGAACTCTGTATATGAAGGCTTTGGGGAAGCGAGGGCTGTAAGGAGCTTTTGCATTCACTCTGGCAGGAAGCAAACTGTCCAAACTGCATTTTCAGGCAGGGTGGGCTGAACATTTAGTAACAAAATACTGGAGGACAGAATGCAGAAAGTTTTCCTGCTTCTGCATAGGGGAATTACTCAATTTTATCACTTAATGTCTGAGAGAAGACTGGCTTCTGTTACGAGCGCTTCCCATTCTAAAATAAAACCTCATTTTTATTGTTACTGGTGTTTCCTTGGGGAAGTTAGAAACAGGGCTAGAGCATTTTTTTTTTCCAAAATTATTTGAACTATATCCATTATGGAAAGTACTGCAACATGGTCGACTTTTCTCTTACATGATTTTATTGATTTATCCTTTCTAGACCACCAGGAATGGCAGATTACATAATAATCTTTTATGAGGGAACATATGGAAGGTTTTTATAAGGAATGGCTTTATAAAACTTTGAAATTATGATGTCAGATTACAGATTTTAGAGCACTCAAAAGGCTTGACTTGCAATGATTTTTCTCTTGAAAAAAATCAGAAGCAGGGGAAAAAATTTATCCCTGATGAATTTGTTTGATCATGTTTTCAGTACATTAAGAAAACATAAACTAAAAAGTTTTTTCAATGCAACAATCTAGACTTAGAATATGCTCTTTATTTATTTTAGAGCTTTTTATTTTTTATGAAAGCAAAGGCTGATAGAGTGATATGCCTAAATGCTTACCTGAAAAAATCACATCTCTTAGAAAAATCTAATTTTCAAGATCACTAAATAGTATTTTGCAATATACATCACAAAATATTAGAGCATAACAAGAACTGAAAAAAATTACTGTGCTTAACCCCTGCTGAAATCACAGAACATAGAATGGCTGAGGTTGGAAAGGAGCTTTGGAGGCCACCAAGTCCAAGTGA